ACGTTGTCTGATTCTGCTGTTGTTAAAGTACTCATACCGTAATTAGACCTTTTCTGTGTATGATCATAGAGGGAAAGAAGACGAGGATGGACCATTCTAACTTTCCACTATTAAACAGCCAATTTTCACGATTGGGGACAAAAGAAAGAAAACATTTCTACAATTTCTTGCAAAAGTATTCCAACTCAGTGAAATGTTCCACTCTTTTTGTTAAAACCAAAAAAAAAATATCAACAAATGTTAATGAGATTTTATGCGAGAGACTCTAACAAGTTAGCGCATCATTGTTATATGTTAGAAATATCTGAAAAGTGTGGGCTCGATTTCTATTCAGCCCAGCTTACAGAAAGGTTTTCCACTTTTTAGGACAACAGCTCTGTACATAAAGCTACAATGGTTATGGATACATTTGAAGGGAACTTTATCCTTTCACAATTCACAGAGTAGGTCACCTGTGAGGGCTCCAGCTCAGAAGGGCACAACAGTGGCTATTGTAGGTGAGATGGGCCTCTCGGAGGCTGCCCATTCCATTCAGAGGAGGCAACCTTTTCAAACTGTACGCTGACTGAGCGAACAACACCAGAACCGACTCCAGTCCATGAGCAGGTAACCTTGTGAGAGCTGTTGCAGAAACATCCCTGTGAATTAACCAAGAAGAGTGTCACATGAGCAACCTTTTATTTTTGGACCTTTGCACGAGGAAACTGCCTTGTAAAAGTTCACAGCAGCAGTCAGCAAGCTCCTGCTACCAGCACTTGATATGTGGGTCATGACTCAGAAAACAGCCGAGTGATAAACTGGTTAAAGGTTTGTTATCTGAACAGTGAGTGTGAATAATGTTTCCCTTCTTATGCCACCTGAATAAAAGGGGACTTGTTATCCAAAATTTACATTTTGCATGTTCTTGTACTTCGATTTGAATTTCTATTGCCTCGAAAAACATCTTCACCGTTTTAAAAAAGACAAAAACACGTTTTTTGAAAACCTCCAGAATGTAACTCCCCGTTACCAAGCAACCCAAGTGGAGCTGCAGCACTTTTGGTCAGCTGGTTTTACCGCTGCATGGCTGCTGGAAAAAACAAGTGTTTTGTTGTCGATTTACCATCAAAAAACTACTTGCAGCATTCTTGTGGATTGTGCAGGAGACTCAACTTATGCTTTTCAAAGATATACTGTTCTATAATTGCCCATTTTCAAGTGCGATTGTAAACATTGAGTTGGGAGGGTGTGGCCAACAGCAGCTTGTTTGGATATAAAGTGACAAGACGCCCTACAGTGGCTAATTGTGAAGAGACTTCACAATGGTGGAACTGATCAGAATAAAATCTTATTATCTAAGAATGATTTTGTGCAAAAAGTGTAATGAACTTGCTTTGTATAGCCCATAGACCTATCCTAACGTCTTCCTGGAAGCATAATAAGTCACCTTTAAAAAACACAAAGTATAACTTACAAGATCTCTGGACCAGTGGCTCCTTGAAAAGCATCTCTATGGATCATTTCAAGGTTTCGATTATTCTTCAGCACCCTACACAAGACAGAGAGAGTAAAGGACCAGTGAGCACATTTCTTACTGCCTGAGCAAAAATACCTAAAAAAATAGTATATATATATATATATATATATATATATATATATATATATATATATATATATATATATATATACTTTATATTTATACATATAAAGTATATATAAAAAGTAGGAATCTATCGAATACAGCTTATCTATCTTTGTCCCATTGAAGGCATGATTGTGTATTCCTCTGATACCATTGTTGTAGAGATTCCTGTAATAAACAGTGTATGTTAGAAAAAAAAGATTTTCATTAAGTGATCATGAATGCAGAGGCACACTTACAATGTAGCATAACCCTCAGTCATTCCAGTGAAAGCGTTTGGAGGCACTTCAAGCAGATGAATGTTGTCGCATATTTCCCTGCAACAGAAGCAAAGTTCAGACTGGAACATTCTGTATCATTACAGACACTAACAGAAAGTAGCTCTGTATTTCGCATGAGGTTAACAAATCATTGTTATGCTTGATTTTCATGTTATTGTGACTTACAGAATAAAGTCTGATTTGAAAGAAGTGATTGATGTAACATCGGGGAAAAGGGTTATCCCGGTGTTTAAGATGCTCCTACAATGATAAAGAAGACATAATGTTTCTGCAATAATTTTTGACTTTTTGTGTGAAGCAAAACATCAAAAAATGTCTCGTAACGTCGCCTTTTTCATAGTATGTGTAGTGCATTCTGCAAAACTATTCATACACAGGGAAACTCAAAGTGGGTTTTATTTGAGATACTTGTATTGTTATTAAGTTTTAGTAAATATGCACAGATTTCAACATTTTCTACAAAGGAGAATGTGATGAGTGTGGGGTTGTTTCCAGCCCAACTGAGACTGAATCTGGGTCCAATGGAAGCCATGTTTGTAAATATCTGCCCCACATTTTCTTTCAGAATAAAAAAGTTTATAATTCCAACCAGCTTCTCAATTTTTCTTGAAGAAATGCATCCCCACATCATGATTCTACCGCCACTGTGGTTTTGGTTTTAAAGGACTGAAGCACACTTTTCAGTCTATACCTAAAAGATGCACTAATTTGTGTTAATTAAATTGCTAATAAAATACACTGAAGTTTGTGGTTGTAATGTGACACGTTAAAGTCAAATGGATGAGTACTGTCGCAATGTACAAGTAAATGAAATCTTACTTATTTAGGTTTAATTTTAAACCTGAACAGTTATGCATTTAAGTTCAAGTTCTCTTACAAGAGGCGAAGATTTGGTAGGTTGTTGAAGGCTCTTCTGTTGATATGCATCAGACTCCTTGCATTTTGAATTGAACTGTTCAGTCATGAGGAAAAAGAAGAGCAGCTGAGGTGCACCGCGGTGATCAGGACTGAAATTCACCCACAGCATCACAAAGACAGGACTTACATCTCAGAGAGGTTGAGAAGATTGCTAAATGCTAACGCTTCAATGGTTTCCAGGGTTACACTTTGAGCAATCGCACTGCAAATAACACAAACACAACATGATTAAGATGTTAGTTTAACTCAGTGTGGCCATAGTTGTTCAGTGCCAACTAAACGTGATCTCTAAAGCTGTAGGATAACTTATTCTAAAACAAAAAAAGCAGACATTTAGAGCTAAAAACATGATGCATAATTAGCAATGCAGCACTTTCCCACTAAATTTCAAAAATATACAGTTCACATTTTAAATTCGTCTGATTATTGTTGGTGCACTAAAAGAAAAGACAGATACATACATCCTCTGAACTCCTCTCAAATCCTCAAAAGAATGGCTTGATATAGTTTTAAAAGAAAGGTGATAAAGAAACCTACAAGAGATGGAAGATGGCCATTAGATTATGATACAGTGACTCTTTAGCCAACAAATCACCTTGATTTAATGTCAATAAAATTTCAGTAAATAAAAGCATAAAATGATCAGCTTTGACTCAGTGTAATAGGTATGTAGAGAATCATAAAGGACGTGAACCCTTTTCTAAAGTTTTGCCATTTAAATTATTTATAGTACTATAAAACTTTTGCTTTTCCAGCAAAAGTCATTTGCTCAGAATTATCATGAGCAAATAACTCTCATCAAATATAAAAGCAAGAAGTTTTGTGTGTGTGTGTGTGTATTTTTTTTTCCAGGAATTGGAACAAATCATCTCGCTGTCTGCAGAGAAGTGAGTTTGACATAATCAGTACTTGAAAGTGTACTGACTAAGGAAGAACCCCATGCTGCAACCTCAACATCTAAAAGTTGCAGTTGCACAAAGGACAAGCTAAATTTCCTCTGGAGAAAAGAACTGTTCAATCTCATAAGACAAAGACAAGGCATTTGACTACAATGTCATGAAGAATGTTTGGTGGAGAGAAGTGAGGCTTTCAAATGTAAAATCCCTGTAACTACTGTCCAGCTTGGTGGGGGCAGCATCACACTATTGGACTTATCTTACTCCCAGGTGTATTAGTCGTTGCACAAATAATAAAAACACTTCAGCTTCAAACTCTTCAGCTTCACATGTGAAGCTGAAGAGTTTGAAACAGTGGGATCTTAAACTCTAATCGCCACCAGATTTTCTAACCACATGACCAGAGAAAATTATTTAAAGGGGAGCAGCAAAAGCAATTGAGGTGGATTAGCAGTGCTTGCCAACAAGTGATGATGTTATCCAGGACATATTACTGTGGAATATCTTCTCTGCTGCCCGGATATTGAGCTGTTAGCATGTCATGATAGTCATAAGACTGTCATACAGCAACAGTCTTCAGTCAGAGGTGTCTACAGATTTGTTGTAAGACTGACTGCTACTGAAAAGCCTCTCTGCCCACAGTATCTCCATGCACAATGGTGCTTTGTGGATATGAGTTGTGACATTTAATTTCCAGTTGAGATAAATAAAACAGTTTTGATTTGAATGAGCTATTTTAAATCTGACACTGTGGACTTAGAAAATCCAATGTTGTGAATCCCATTTCTGCTTTTATCATTCTACAAATTTGTTTCTTGTCTCATCATTTCCTCCTGGCAACAACTAATTAGCCAAATATAAAAGTTTCTGTATGTGTGTGTGTGTGTGTGTGTGTGTGTGTGTGTGTGTGTGTGTGTGTGTGTGTGTGTGTGTGCTTTAGGAGTGTTTTTGGCATCTGATCCAATCACGAAACTGCCAGCCTTGGTGTGCAGGCACTTATCAGCTCAGATTCAAGGTCCTGTGATTTATAAAAGCAGGGGTCAAGACTCCCCACCTTCAAGGTTCATCACAGTCTGGTAGGCTCGTCGGGGGAGCTCAGACATAGGATGAGAGGATGCTGTATGTGCATGACCTTGTGAGGCCAACTTGACATGTTCAGAAGTAATTAAGTTCAACACACATTGAGGTTCTTTTTGTTGATTGAAGTGACCATGAAGGTCTGTGCATATGTTTTTATTCAGCTGTTATTTAAATCCAAATTGTTCTTATTATGAACATAAACAATGTGTGGGAGGCAGCTGCACAGTTGCTATAAAGTCTTCTAGAACAAAGTTTAGACTATTGTTTACACAGTAAGATATCATCTGTGGGCTCATTATGATGGCCAATGGCAGTCTATGTAATGTATAAATGTCAGACAAATATTAGGTGGAATACAATAAACAATAATGTTTTTTTGTTTTGTTTTTTTCAAAATTAGGAACAGCCTTGCATCTTATTCGTAAGATTCTACAAGAACACGTTGCTAAACATGGCAATGTTCACACATTATTCTGCCAGTTTTGTACAGAGAAAAAAAATGAACTAAAATTATTTCTTTGAAAACTGATAACAAACCACGTGAATGATGTTTGGCTCAAAATTAAACATTTTGTGCGTAATTACCCGCGGACTGATCTGGAAAGTAGCTTCATATGATTATGCAGCGCCTTAACATCACAGATTGTATTATACGCGGGCACATAGACGTGTTTTTATCGACTTTGACTCCATATGACAGTCTGTACTTACAGTCTTTTGTTCCGCTGGTCCTTTCCCGCCTCTGCTGTAAGCTTGCATCTGATCGTCTCGGAGGAACATCGGCAGATCCTCGGGCAACTGAAACTTGTGCATTCATAAAAGAACGAGACTAACAAGAGCAGGAATACTGGGAGAGGCGTCCGCATCGCTGCTGGCGTCTGTGAAACGTCCGAACACCAAGAAGGTGGGCTGTCCACTCATCCCTCAGTGCGCATGGAGATATTTGCGCCTGTTGCTGTTAAAGCACATCGTCCTGACGGCGCAAAGGGGGTTCGGAGCCACCTGAACTAACCAGGAGTTATCCAAAATGTGCAACTGTTACTGTTTTTACAGTAATGTACGGCATTATAAAATTGCGCGTGCCTCTTTGAAGCATCGACCTGTCATTTTTGCGCAAATGAAATCCTTTGAATGAGTTAGATTATCTGAGATTCAGAAAAGTTTGCACTTCATTGAAAATCTGGGGCAGTTTGTGTCTGAAGAAATATGCAGCAAACTGGAGATAAATTTTGGAGAAATTGTATATCCACAGAAAAAAATATTCTTAATGTTTTGAAATAACGTTCTTGCAGGCATATTTACAAACAACCAACCAGTAACCTAATCTAGGGACAGCGTGACCTCAAAAGCGTCCCACAAGTATTTCTCTTTTGTTATTCACTTTATTGAACTTTGACACAAAAGATGTTTTGACAAATATTACATTTAAAGAGAAGATTGCATTCTTGCTCAAATGATAGAATATTTAAATAATGTAGTCAGAGCAACTGATTCAAAAAGGTTTCATAATGTACCTCATTTAATCAAATTTAATCAGTTTAATCATTTTATCAATATTCAATGTATTCAATGCATTATAATGAGACGATCAATATAATTGCATCTCATTATAATTGTCATGATCCGTGGTTTTCTGTGTGTTTTTGAGTTTTTCAATGTGTTCCTGTTTCCCTGTGAGTCTCTGTCCTGTCTTCCCCGTTGATTGTCTCCCAGGTGTGTCTACTTACCTGATTACCCTCCATGTGTATTTAAGCCCACCTGTGTCTGTGTTCTTCGTCGGGTCCTTGTCGTTGTCAGTCAAGTAAGTCGGTCTTTGTAGCCTCGTAGAAGTCGTCACAGTAGAACTGGGAAGTCCTGTGACGGCTTGGCTCTTATTAGTTTTTGACCGCCACAGTAGAACTGGAAAGTCCTGTGGTGGCATGGCTCTTATTTTGTCAGTCTTTGTTTAGTTGCTGCCGGTGCTGAGTTTTTGTTTCCACTCTGCCGTGTTGCATGTTTTGGACTGTTTAGAGCTATATTTGATTATTAAAGACGTCAACTTCACTACATCCTGGGTCCTGCGTTCGATCTCACCACCAACCAACACAATTCATGACAATAATAGCTAATGATATAATGGTATTTCATTATATCATCTCATTATTGAAGAATGTTAAATGTTGATATAGCATCTTTTAGTAAAATATATAGTAAAAGATATCTTATATAAAAGATATAGTAAAAGGTATAAGATATTTTATATCTTATATAAGATATCTTATATAAAAGATATAGTAAAAGATATCTTATATCTTATATAAGATATCTTATATCTTATATAAGATATCTTATATAAAAGATATAGTAAAAGATATAAGATATGTTATATCTTATATAAGATATATAAGATATCTTATATAATATATCTTATATAAAAGATATATTTATATATAAGATAATATATATAAATGCTGATATAACTACTTTTACTAAAATATGCTATATCAGCATTTATATAAGATAACGTTCTTCTATGAGATGCTATAATGAAATATGCTATATCTCATTATAGCATCTCATTACAATGATTATAATAGTATCTCAAGTATCTCATTATAATGACGAGATACGATCCCATTATAATGTGATACATCCATCCATCCATCCATTTTCTTCCGCTTTATCTGGGGTCGGGTAGCGGGGGCAGCAGCTTCAAAAGGGAGGCCCAGACTTCCCTCTCCCCAGCCACTTCTTCCATCTCCCTCAAGGGAACCCCAAGGCGTTCCCAGGCCAGCCGAGAAACATAGTTCCTCCAGCGTGTCCTGGGTCTTCCCCGGGGCTGCCTAAATGCCCGGAACACCTCACCCATGTCTCCTCTTCGGGCTGTGCCCGGCTGGGCTCCATGGGTAAAAGCCTGGCCACCAGGAGCTCGCCAATGTGCCCCACCTCCAGGACTGGTTCCAGGGTGGGGCCCCGGTGATCCGCGTCCAGGCAAGGGAGCACCAAATTCAAAGTTGTTTTCCATCATGATGAGAAAGAACTTGATGCATATTTAAAATTTGTCTATTAAATTAAAGATGTGGATGTTGTTTTTTGTTTGTTTTTTAAAGCATTGTATATCTAATTAAATGATTGTGACCTCTATTTTGTCCAATCTTATAAAAGTAGATATTTTAAATCCATTCATTTTCCATACCTATGTTAAAACATGACAAGGTCCCTGTGAGTGGGGAAATTTAAAGTAACCAATTAAAGGTTGTTCTTTTGGACTGTGAGGGGACGCCGGAGCACCCGGAGAGAATCCTCACATCAGTGGAGATCATGCAAACTCCACGCAGAAAACCCAGGAACTCCTGTAAGCCTATAGTGAGAGTGTTGTATTGTGGCTTTTTAAAAGAATTGAGTGTGTTTTAAATGGAGCAGTCAGCATGTGATGTATTGGGAAAATGGTCTTTTTTATGTTCTCTTACCTGCACTGGTACATATGTCTATGTATTTATGATTACGGTCCTGGGGTTTTTTGTTTGTTTGATTGATTTTTTAGATTTTTCTTTGTGTACTCAGTGACATTTTGTTGCTAAATTTACTGTAGTGTCTTTGTGTGATGACAATACAGCAAGTCTACATTTAAGTCTCAGTTTTTTGCTCCAGTTTAAGTTGCGCAATTGGTGGAACTTTTACAGGCTTTTGTAAATCGAGGGAAGTTGTTTTCTCTACTCTTGGGGGAGAAGGTAAAGGTGGCAGGAAATAAGATTTATTTTTAGGCATCTCTGCCTGTGACAATTTTATATGTGTCAGATCTGAACAATGATCGAAAACCTTGGACTGTGTTTTGGCATTCTCTGAGCGAGCTGACTTTGTCTTTGACATTTTCTTTTTTATGTACGGCATATCCAGTCCCTCCTCTTCAGCCTTCTTCATTTCAGACTCTATGTACTGCTTAACTGGGGCTGGCATAATGTCCAGAAGAATCCTCTGCTGTTCTTCAATCTCTCCTTTTCTCTTCTCCATCTGTAACGCACGCTTATTTGCTGCCATTTCGGAGTTGAAATTGGAATATTCGAGAAGGTCTTGTTGTTTTTGTTGCTTCTTTTGTTCTATTTCAGCTGCACACAACCTGTCTGCCTCCATCAAATCACCCAACCTCTTTTTGCTCTTCTCCTTCTCTATCTGCTTTGCCTCCAATTTCTCTCTTACTTTCTCAGCATTTGCTTCCAGAATTGATTTTTGCATTGCAGCCCGTTTCTCATTTTTTTCATCCTCTTGCTGTTTTTCTTTGATCCTCCGTAGTCCAATGACTTTGGTCATTTCTTTCTCTGTTGAAGCAAATTTGGAGGCTTCCTCATTTCCTATCTTCATCAGATGGTCGTATGCAGTTTGTATCTTCATCTGATACCTCTTTAATTTGTCAGCCTTTGCAGCTTTTGCTTTGCTGAAAAAAGTGTCCACTTCTTTGAAATGCTGCTCCTTGCTAGCTATAGCCAGCTTCTCAGTTTTAGAGAGTTTGGGCTTTGTAACATTTTGGTGGATGAATTTCCTTTTCTCTTCCTTTTTTTTCTCCATTTCCTCCTTATCCTTTTGGTTTATGTATGCATCTTCGAGCATAACTCTCCTTTTATCTTCTTTTTCAAGTTCTAGTCGCTCTCCCGCAAGTTGCTTCTTTTTGCGTACCATCTCATTAAAAAATTCGACATCAGCCTGTAGGTTCTTCTTACGATTACAATCTTCATTCATAATGCGTTCTTCAACACTGTGGTACCAAGGCTTCATCTCCCCATTGTCTTTTGCAAGTATTTGTGCAGCAATGTGCTTCTCTCTCTGATTTGCGGCCAACAACTTGTTTTGTTTGTTCATCCTTTGATCATTGAGTATTCTGTTAAAATTTTCCACGTCTTTGTCTCGCAGCAGAATCTTGTAACTGCTCTGTTCGAGAAAGGCATTTCTTTCCTTTTCTTTTAACTGCCTTTCTTCAGCAGCAATCTGCTCAAGTTGGCGCTCCTTTTCTTGTATCTGTGCTTCTTTCTTTTCTCTTTGTGCAGCACGTGTTTCCTGTAAAGTTTTAAGATTTGGTCGCAAGCGTTTTAAACCTCTTCTGGTATTCTCTGCTACCATATTATGTGCTTGTGAGATTTTCTGGACTGTTTGCCAACAAAATGATGGCAGGATTCCAATAGCTCTTTCCATTTTCCTTCTCAGTAAGGGTGAAACTATTTCACAATGACGTATATCTCAAGGTTCTTGACACAAAAAGCAGGTCTAGGTTAAATCCAGAAATGTCTAATATAATCAATCCAAGAAACTCAGCTCACAGACTGGTCCCAGTACAGTGTGTGCAGATCACCACGATCCAAAGTAGAATGAAGTGCAGTGAAATTCCGTTTATTCAAGTGGCTCAGAACTGAGATGTCACAGAAGAAGACTTTGTGACATCACTATGACATATGACATCATCGGAGTATCATCATTACAAACTTCCATTCTGCAGGAACAATTTTCAAAATTCAAAATTTAAGGTTTTCATCCCCCATTACTTAAATAGCTGAAATTTTAGAAGCACCAGACTGATAAAGCAATGTGCATTTTAAGAAGAGTTATGTTGACAAAAAATATATTAAAAAAAAACTAAAATAAAGGCAAAAACCTCTGAATGTATTAGAGAAAGAAANATATATTTATATATAAGATAATATATATAAATGCTGATATAACTACTTTTACTAAAATATGCTATATCAGCATTTATATAAGATAACGTTCTTCTATGAGATGCTATAATGAAATATGCTATATCTCATTATAGCATCTCATTACAATGATTATAATAGTATCTCAAGTATCTCATTATAATGACGAGATACGATCCCATTATAATGTGATACATCCATCCATCCATCCATTTTCTTCCGCTTTATCTGGGGTCGGGTAGCGGGGGCAGCAGCTTCAAAAGGGAGGCCCAGACTTCCCTCTCCCCAGCCACTTCTTCCATCTCCCTCAAGGGAACCCCAAGGCGTTCCCAGGCCAGCCGAGAAACATAGTTCCTCCAGCGTGTCCTGGGTCTTCCCCGGGGCTGCCTAAATGCCCGGAACACCTCACCCATGTCTCCTCTTCGGGCTGTGCCCGGCTGGGCTCCATGGGTAAAAGCCTGGCCACCAGGAGCTCGCCAATGTGCCCCACCTCCAGGACTGGTTCCAGGGTGGGGCCCCGGTGATCCGCGTCCAGGCAAGGGAGCACCAAATTCAAAGTTGTTTTCCATCATGATGAGAAAGAACTTGATGCATATTTAAAATTTGTCTATTAAATTAAAGATGTGGATGTTGTTTTTTGTTTGTTTTTTAAAGCATTGTATATCTAATTAAATGATTGTGACCTCTATTTTGTCCAATCTTATAAAAGTAGATATTTTAAATCCATTCATTTTCCATACCTATGTTAAAACATGACAAGGTCCCTGTGAGTGGGGAAATTTAAAGTAACCAATTAAAGGTTGTTCTTTTGGACTGTGAGGGGACGCCGGAGCACCCGGAGAGAATCCTCACATCAGTGGAGATCATGCAAACTCCACGCAGAAAACCCAGGAACTCCTGTAAGCCTATAGTGAGAGTGTTGTATTGTGGCTTTTTAAAAGAATTGAGTGTGTTTTAAATGGAGCAGTCAGCATGTGATGTATTGGGAAAATGGTCTTTTTTATGTTCTCTTACCTGCACTGGTACATATGTCTATGTATTTATGATTACGGTCCTGGGGTTTTTTGTTTGTTTGATTGATTTTTTAGATTTTTCTTTGTGTACTCAGTGACATTTTGTTGCTAAATTTACTGTAGTGTCTTTGTGTGATGACAATACAGCAAGTCTACATTTAAGTCTCAGTTTTTTGCTCCAGTTTAAGTTGCGCAATTGGTGGAACTTTTACAGGCTTTTGTAAATCGAGGGAAGTTGTTTTCTCTACTCTTGGGGGAGAAGGTAAAGGTGGCAGGAAATAAGATTTATTTTTAGGCATCTCTGCCTGTGACAATTTTATATGTGTCAGATCTGAACAATGATCGAAAACCTTGGACTGTGTTTTGGCATTCTCTGAGCGAGCTGACTTTGTCTTTGACATTTTCTTTTTTATGTACGGCATATCCAGTCCCTCCTCTTCAGCCTTCTTCATTTCAGACTCTATGTACTGCTTAACTGGGGCTGGCATAATGTCCAGAAGAATCCTCTGCTGTTCTTCAATCTCTCCTTTTCTCTTCTCCATCTGTAACGCACGCTTATTTGCTGCCATTTCGGAGTTGAAATTGGAATATTCGAGAAGGTCTTGTTGTTTTTGTTGCTTCTTTTGTTCTATTTCAGCTGCAAACAACCTGTCTGCCTCCATCAAATCACCCAACCTCTTTTTGCTCTTCTCCTTCTCTATCTGCTTTGCCTCCAATTTCTCTCTTACTTTCTCAGCATTTGCTTCCAGAATTGATTTTTGCATTGCAGCCCGTTTCTCATTTTTTTCATCCTCTTGCTGTTTTTCTTTGATCCTCCGTAGTCCAATGACTTTGGTCATTTCTTTCTCTGTTGAAGCAAATTTGGAGGCTTCCTCATTTCCTATCTTCATCAGATGGTCGTATGCAGTTTGTATCTTCATCTGATACCTCTTTAATTTGTCAGCCTTTGCAGCTTTTGCTTTGCTGAAAAAAGTGTCCACTTCTTTGAAATGCTGCTCCTTGCTAGCTATAGCCAGCTTCTCAGTTTTAGAGAGTTTGGGCTTTGTAACATTTTGGTGGATGAATTTCCTTTTCTCTTCCTTTTTTTTCTCCATTTCCTCCTTATCCTTTTGGTTTATGTATGCATCTTCGAGCATAACTCTCCTTTTATCTTCTTTTTCAAGTTCTAGTCGCTCTCCCGCAAGTTGCTTCTTTTTGCGTACCATCTCATTAAAAAATTCGACATCAGCCTGTAGGTTCTTCTTACGATTACAATCTTCATTCATAATGCGTTCTTCAACACTGTGGTACCAAGGCTTCATCTCCCCATTGTCTTTTGCAAGTATTTGTGCAGCAATGTGCTTCTCTCTCTGATTTGCGGCCAACAACTTGTTTTGTTTGTTCATCCTTTGATCATTGAGTATTCTGTTAAAATTTTCCACGTCTTTGTCTCGCAGCAGAATCTTGTAACTGCTCTGTTCGAGAAAGGCATTTCTTTCCTTTTCTTTTAACTGCCTTTCTTCAGCAGCAATCTGCTCAAGTTGGCGCTCCTTTTCTTGTATCTGTGCTTCTTTCTTTTCTCTTTGTGCAGCACGTGTTTCCTGTAAAGTTTTAAGATTTGGTCGCAAGCGTTTTAAACCTCTTCTGGTATTCTCTGCTACCATATTATGTGCTTGTGAGATTTTCTGGACTGTTTGCCAACAAAATGATGGCAGGATTCCAATAGCTCTTTCCATTTTCCTTCTCAGTAAGGGTGAAACTATTTCACAATGACGTATATCTCAAGGTTCTTGACACAAAAAGCAGGTCTAGGTTAAATCCAGAAATGTCTAATATAATCAATCCAAGAAACTCAGCTCACAGACTGGTCCCAGTACAGTGTGTGCAGATCACCACGATCCAAAGTAGAATGAAGTGCAGTGAAATTCCGTTTATTCAAGTGGCTCAGAACTGAGATGTCACAGAAGAAGACTTTGTGACATCACTATGACATATGACATCATCGGAGTATCATCATTACAAACTTCCATTCTGCAGGAACAATTTTCAAAATTCAAAATTTAAGGTTTTCATCCCCCATTACTTAAATAGCTGAAATTTTAGAAGCACCAGACTGATAAAGCAATGTGCATTTTAAGAAGAGTTATGTTGACAAAAAATATATTAAAAAAAAACTAAAATAAAGGCAAAAACCTCTGAATGTATTAGAGAAAGAAAGAAAGAAAGAAAGAAAGAAAGAAAGAAAGAAAGAAAGAAAGAAAGAAAGAAAGAAAGAAGGAAAGGGAAATCTAGGCTTCTTTTCACTGTGTAACTTAACATTTTACTCAATTAGCTTGGACATTTGACTGCTATCTGGACTAATTTTTCTTTTGAATGACAGTTTCTATATTAAACATTCATTCCATTAAATCTCTTCTACATTCCATTTTGCTCCCCAAGCAAAAATTGTTCATTTTTGTTTTCACTTTATTTGCTCAGTGGGTTTACAAAAAGACATGGATGTGTATGTGATTTCCCATCCACCCCTGAATGACTACAAGTGTGCATGTTGGAAGTCTTGGCCTAGAGTGCATGTGTCAAACTCAAAGCCCGCTGGCCAAATCTGCCCCACCATAATTTTTTTGTGGCCCCCTAGAATTTAAAGGGACATTTTGCGGAATGTAACTTGTCTTACTTCCACTCTTGGGAATGCAGCCAATCAGTATCAAAAAAGTAAATAGATTAGCTGCTTTGCAAACTTCAGCCAATACTGTACGAAATAGGATTGCACCTATATATCTCAGTTTCCCAAGCTGCATTTTTCATATATTTTAGATATGCTGCACAAAAAAAAAAAAAAAAAAAAATCAGTGAATAATTTGGAGTTATGTTCGACTGAAAAATCCATGAATACTGAACCATAAATTCTATGGAAAAGAAAAATAAACTGTCTAGTTTGTAGGTATGAAATCACAACTCATGATTACAAAAATAGGAGTTAAAGTCTATTTGACAGCTATCATCAGCTGTTAAGATACACAATCACCCTGCCATACATATGACTTCTAAGAATGGATTATCTGTTGGGGAAACATAAATAAAAAGATATAATTCAAGCACTTATTAAATATTTAGAAGACACAAAATTGGCTGAGAAGATTTAGCATGCATGTGCATGTATACATATGGGTGGTTATTTTCGAGTCATAAAGTTATTTTAGCGTATTAAAAATATGGGATACAGGAAATTTAATTTCTGCATTACGCCGCCAGTAGATGGCGATACTGCACTAAATCTGTAAACTGTCAGTAAACATGGAAGAAGTAGAAGAGTATCCGTCGTTGGTGCTTTACTTTCGTAACATCTCCAGTAGATGGCGACAATGGAAAAGGCGAAAGCATAACCTTAGTCAGTTTTGTCAACCGTCATATAATTTAGTGAAAAGTGAAAAGTTACATGTTAAAACGTGTGGCGTTTTTTTGTAGTATGTGACAATGGGAGTTGCTTTTTTTTTGTTTGCTTGTTTGTTTGTTTTTTAACAGTAGGTTATGCAGGGTCAACAACATGTCACTACATTATCTGAACAGTTTTCGACGAAACTGAAAAAAACTTCCCGCAAATTCATCTAAAGAAGGTTTTTCGCAACACCGTCATTCTCCCGAGCACAACGAAAAAACAGCAGCAAACAGCTCTGAGGAAGTGTCGTTTAGTTGCTGTAAGCGTCTGGTCCGGGGTCTGTTAGCAAAACACTTCTTTGAGGAAACAGGTCTCATAATGACTCTCTTTAAACTGATCCCCGGTCAGCTAGTTGAGGAGACGTTCAGGAAGCCAGGAAGTGTGTAATGCTACTGATGTCAGCGATAGCAGTCATTACGTACCGACGGACAGTGTTTAGTTTGGACATTAGGACGTGAATATTTCTCCTAACAGGTTTACACATTTGAGTTTTAGCGATGGATAAGCTTCGACGTGTGTTGAGCGGCCGGGAGGATAACGAAGAACTCGGGCTAACTGCACAGGTCAGCTGCTAATGCTAACTCCGTTCAGAAAGTATGGTTTCCTGTCTCAGACAGCACATTTAAATTTGAGTTATCAACACTGCATTTCTTATAATGTAGCTTTCTTATTGTTCGCGGTTTATGAATTTAACAGCTAATGCTTACTTTTTAGTCGTTAGTTATACGTATTTCCCACATTATTTGTAAGTCATGTTGCTTTTAAATTAGCTTCCATGTTCTTGTTAGCTCTCAATGCTAACTATTTTGTTTACACTTTTGCATGCTTTCACATTTAAGAGGATACAAGGTAAGTTGCTGCTTAGTTTCACTTTGATCCCAGCTAAAGTTTTACTTTACAACCTGTACATTTGCTCTGACTTTTCTTGAAAAACAGCGCCGCTGTGTGCTCTGTAGCTGTAAAAATGCCTGAATGACTGAATATCCGTGCAAAGCCTGCGGGTCTCACTGTAGGTCATTACTCTTGTCTTGTGACTTCCTCCCATTGTTCTCACCAGGTTCTTGATGGCAGCTCTCTCAGCTTCAGCACCAGGGTGAAATGGTTTGTCATATGCTTTGCTGGAGGCATCCTATGCTCCATACTCGTGAGTGTCTCTGCAGCTCTGAGAGGAAACACAGAGAATGCACATAATCTTCAAGTTCCTGTTCCTTTTTTTTTCTACTTTAAACTAAAATCTGCTAAAATGGCAGCTGTTTACTAACTGGAGATTCACACCTGAACTAATACTTAAAATACCTTGACATAGTCAGTCGGTGCATATGGTTCATAATAGAGGAAGTCTGGTATCGCACACTTAATTGTGATAATTCACACTGACTCAAAAAGCAGTTAACAAGTTAGTGCATAGTTTCTCACATGCTTTTACACTTTGTTTTATGCTCAATCCTCTTTATGCTAATATCACTAAATAAAAATCTAAACTAACAGATGCCTTGGTGATATAGTTATTAAATAGAGCTAACCCAAAAACCATGTTTGCAGTTTTCCAAAAAAAAGAAACATATTTGTAGCAAATTCAAAGGTGTTCTGGTTAGATAGACCAACTGTTTACTTTTTGACCTAAATGCTATATGTAATAGAAAACTAACGTTGCAATTCACTGGCTCATCTTTCAGCCTTAAATACACAGCCAGAGTTATGTTAAAATGGCCCAATCAAAGCCCAGACCCAAATCTAGTTGATAATGTGACTTGACTTGAAACTTTATATTCATGTGGGTTGTCTATCCGGTCTGACGGGGCTAACGATTATGCTGCGAAGATCAAGCCAAATGTCTTTCTCTACATGCTCAACACAAGAAACACCCCAAAAGATTTGCAGCTGTAATTGCAATAAAATGTGACTCTATAAAATATCAATTTATAAGAACTGACAAATGTTTGTCACACACTAAAGAAAAAAGTCAAGACGCATGAATGATTTTGCTAAATTAAATTTTTTTATCAATTTTTAATTTATAAAAATCTAAACTTACTGCACAAACCTTGAAGGAAATTTAACATTAAGTTTGTGCTTAGTTGCTCTGTTTTCCTAGTTTTCATTATGGGTAGTTGTCCATTAGATGTAGATATGTACATAATAATATGTACATGCTGCTGTGAATTCATAAATTGCACCAAACATTTTTTAGCTTAGTTAAATTCTTACAAAGTTACCAAAAAGTTATAATCTAATAATTAATTGTTGATTCAGCAGTATGACTGTGTTCTTTTGCCTTTGACCTCTAATGAATGTGTGAGGATGTTATTCTCTGCAGCTCACAGATATTTTTCTACTGTTTTCTTTTTCCCAGGGTTCAGCACTGCTCTTCCTTCCTGGTTCCGGCATCAAGCTTTTTGCTGTCTTCTACACACTTGGAAATATTGCAGCTTTGTCCAGGTAAGGCGCTGTAGGGAACAGAGCATATCAATTTAAAACCATGACTTGTTTCACTTGATGGCAAGTTTAGCCAATTTTTTTTTTTTGCTCAGATTTCATATATGGTAGGGATGAAAAAACAAACAAACTTGAAAGTAAGTTTTTTTTCATCCCATCAAACTTTGAGTTTAAAGCGCACCTGTGGTGAGATTTACAGTTAAATTACTGCTTTAAATTCTTTCTTTTTTAATAAAATATGTTTATAAAAGTTCTCCTTCATGTGTAGAAAACCAGATGAATAAAAACATTTCCTCTCATCTGAGCAAACCCCATTTATGGGTGAATGCCTCAGTCCTTTTTACAGTCAGCCGTAGATTTCGGAGACAACAGATGTCCTTCCCGTCAGTAAGCAGGAGCAGCATGTGCGTGGACATTGTGTCTCTGTCACACTGAACAGTTGGAGTAACGAGGGAAAGACGGCAGCAGACCCTCTCTTCTGATCAGTCTACACAGTCTACGTCAACATGCTCTTAATGTCTCATCTAGCAGATGTGACACCTAAGTGATTCCTGCTACCCACTCAGCTGTGCCTCACCAGTTGGGAAAGCCTTCGTCTCTTTAACTACGCTGACGTAAAACATCCATCATGTGCAAGGCAGCTCTAACTGCGTCATCGTGCTGATGGACAGGAAGCGCCGAACCCATAATTACTGCAGCATGTTGAGTTAAATTGAACCCTTTGGACAAACCATTTAATGTTAGTCATACTGATAGTGTGTGTGTGTGCTTATTTTAGAGTATTTTTCGTCTTGTGGCATATGGGAGAAATTTCTCAGTTCTTGGAAAGAAAAAATTGAGTTATTATCTTTGTGCTTAATTAGCACGAGACATTTTTACACGTGAACCACTTTCATAGTCTTCCGGTCAAGAATCGAGTTCAGTTGAGAAAATGCTTTTCCCAACAACAAGCTCCTGCAGGCATGTACATAAAGTTAATCGTTCTTTTGGATATCGCCTTTAAAAAAAGTACTTTTTCAACCATTTAATGAATTTTTGTAACCCAGTTAACTTTTTAGAAACTTGGCTTAAGAGCTGCATTAAACTATAAATGTTTTGGTTAATGCTAATTAATTAAATTTCAAAATAAAAACTTCACATATAAATTAAAAATTATGTAATGTTTAGACAGGAATTCACCTTAAGCTACAAATCTTAATATGTTTAACAAAGTCTCCATTACAGATTATATGGCTTATAAAGTCTTCAGTAAGCATCACACTTGCGTTGAGTTTGGCTTGTTTTCTCTGTTTTGATATGCCTTGTTGATCATTCGATGATAACTTGTTTGCTTGAGGCTCCAGTAAATCTTGCGTGGACAAATAATTATTTAAGGAAAACTTAGGGGCGGCCATTTTTAGTATCATTCACCATCTTTTGTGAAGTTTTTTTCTGTTGCGATAGGAATTATAATTCATTGTAGCAAACGGTATATTCCAATTTATGAAGTTTGAAAAACTTCAAAACTGACAGTATTTTCAGGATTGTTCATTTTGATCTCGTTAGCTCCATGACGGTGCCAATAAATATTTGTAATATGTAATGAAATGTAGTTACCAAGTGCTTTTTTTATGATTTAATTTTTTTTTTTATTTAAGACTGGTGTCTTGAAGAATATTGTGATAATAATTTCTTTGTAAAATACAGTATATTGTGCAGCCCTAAGACACATGCAGTCACACAAATACTTTGTCTAAAAGAGACTGTAAAGAAGTTGTAAATACTTTTTTGTCACTTTTATCATTATTGCAATAAATACAACGAAATACGATAAAAGTTTTAATCGGTGTCACCCTATGCTAGCGTTATATGATCTTCCAGTTTTACGCTCAGCTTTTTCCTACATTGGCGTCGGTGTGAGAGAACTATTCTCTGCTTCACACAGTCAAAAAGCTGCAGCGACCAATACAGTCTTTATACTGCCTCTTTGCAGCTGACATCAGTGTTTAAGATGATAGAAAATCATCTTAAAACTTCTGTAACAATCTGAGTTTTCCAGTGGTTTTCGAGCCATAAGGAAACCGGCCATAAATCACAATGCCTCACGTAGAGATCCAACAATCTGTCACTTTTGGCAGATCGTCCACATTTTGTCATCCTTCATGATGTAATATGATTATTTACCAATGTTTGTGATTACAGTCCTATAGAGTGTGGATGTTTTATTTTTTGGATCTGAAAGTTACCATGTGTTACCAACACATGGTAACTGTGTTGGGCTGGAGGGAGAAAATGTGTGCTGCCTTATTTTGTCAAATTAAAAAGTAAACTTTACACAATGTTCCTTTTCATTATTGTGCTTCATATTAACAGCAGACATGTCTTTTTTTTTTGTATTTTTAAAGCACATGTTTCTTGATGGGACCATTAAAACAACTGAAGAGGATGTTTGAACCAACAAGACTCATAGCAACCATTATTATGCTGGTAAATATCCACTTTTGCTCCTTGGTTTTATCCAATAAAATGGATATGTTTCGGTATATTGACACTATGTAGCAATAATATCCATTTTGTGTTTAGTAGGTCAAAGTTTATTAATGGTTCTCTGGTTATTATCTTGTGATCTTTTTTGGAACGGTTAACAATTTGCTGTAGCAAATAACATCTGTTTTACAATGCGGCTACTTTCTCTTAGTAGATTTTGTGTGTTGAAGTTTACTTTTCCTGTAAATGTAAAACAAAGTGATGATTGTTTGTATTCTCCTCCCACCAGCTCTGCTTTGTCTTAACACTTTGTGCAGTGTTTTGGGTGAGATTTCAGCACACTTAGATAAAAAAAAAACAACAACAAAAAAACCATACAGATCTCTTTATTTGTCTCACTGAAACTGTTATTTTAACACATTTATGTTTTACAGTGGCATAAAAAGGGACTGGCAATCATCTTCTGTATTCTGCAGTTTTTGGCAATGACCTGGTAAGACTGACCTTCAGTTTGGTCTCAGCTGTTTTTTATCAGAACAAACTTTGGTCTGTCTGAATTTACTTGAACTAAATGTCCAAAACTTTTGTTTAAGCCATGCAATTTTTCATCCGTCCATCCATATAATTTATCATTTCTACCACTTCTATCTCTAAAGACGGTATAGAAATTAATTTGTGAGCCTTCGAGTCAGTATTAATCGGTTTATTTTAAAATAATAA